TGTGACAAGGCATGCAGCACTGAGACCATCGGGTTGTCCATCGCTACCAGCGCTTATGAGAGAAGCAACGTGATCGGCGGTGGACAAACCTCCCTTCAATAAACCTCCCCTTAGTGAGAACGGCCTAGGGCCGACACCGGCGGACCTGGGCCCGCAAACATAACGGCCGCGCCGCGCTCTCGCGAAGCGGAAACGGCCAATTCCTTCATCGACGGGTCAAGGTAGGAGGTCTGTCCACCCCCGAAGTGCTGCCACGACATGCCCTGTTTCTCTCCCATCCTGCGCCACTGTGGCCAAAGCCATCATCATTTGCCTCCTGCGCTGCCTGCGTCTGCTGCTGTGCCCTCGCGGGTAGCCTCAAACGCACCGCCCGTGATGGCCACGAAGAAGCTGGGCGCGCCAGGAATAGCAATGATGCAACAACGATCGGACGAAAAGCGACACACGAGCCCCGATTGTGATCGCTTGCCTGGGTCTGCAATACGTGGCACGCGCGTCGAACAGATGGATTTTGGAAGGTTCACTGAAGAATGATGTGAGGCCACGCTCCCTCTTCCCCGTGCCCTCGCAAAACCACCTCACGATTAACGTCCACCCTGCCAGCAGCAACCAAGACGCCTCCAAATCGGAACGAGCAGTCAGCGCGCCACCCGGCCAAAGGGGATAGACAAGCGGGGGAAGCGGGCGGGAAATGGGGACGGGGGGATGCAGGGAGGGGGCGGGAGAAGAGAAGGGGGCGGGGTATACAATGGAGGAGGAGGAGGAGGAGGAAGGATGAGGTGGAAGGAGTAGGAGGCGAGGAGGGGAAATTTTGTTGGGGACGGACCTAAAACCATGCAGTCCATGACGTCAGTTATCGGCGCCCGAGTCAGACTCGCCTTCCTCTCCTGAGCTTGGGTCGTGGCCTCCCCCCGGGCGCTCACCCAGGGGACGTCGGCCTCCTCGAGGACGAGCGAAAACAGAACCCTGTCGCGCGAGGCGGAGCCCTGCACGACCCGAAAGAACGTCGAGGAGGAGGAGGAGGAGGAGGAGGAGGAGGAGGGAGGAGGAGGAGGAGGGAGGAGGAGGAGGAGAACGAGGAGGAGGAGGAGGAAGGAGGAGGAGGAGGAGGAGGGAGGAGGAGGTAGGAGGAGGAGAAGGGGGAGGAGGAGGAGGAGGAGGTCGGCGGAACACCGTGGGGGGCCCGACCATCCTCCTCCGGCTTCTGAGCCAAGACCCTGCGCTGGGGGAGGTTCCGGCCCTCGCGGCCACCCTGAGTTAAGTAGTCTTCCCGGCCTTTGTGGGCCCTGGAAACGATCCGCCTGGTCTGAAGTCGGGCACGCAAAGATGGTCACAAAAACAATATGGGGACGATTGTTCGATCATGCTTTGCATGTGTTTGGGCATTTTTGGGGGTATGTTTTTGTTTTGTGTCCACAATCCGCCTGCAGGAGAACACTTCCGAACCTGGGTCCCTCGTGGAAGGTTGGGCTGCCCATTTCTGTCCCAGCCTTTGCGGGCCCCGGAAACGGCAGGGCCGTTTCATCACCGTTTCCCAAAAATGTCCCTGGAAAATGGAAACGGCAAAAAATCGACGACCCGAAACGGCAAAGAAACGGCTCCAGGATCGGAACTGGAGCCGGAACCGGTCAAAGAACGGCGACGGAACCGGTAAAAAACGGCGTCGGAACCGGCAAGAAAACGGCAAAACGGAACCGGTGACGAAAACGGCCCTGTCGTTTCAAGGGCCCACTAAGCTCGTGGCCGCCCTGAGTTAAGTAGTCTTCCAGGCCCTTCTTTTAAGACGGGGACCTACCCAGCCGAATTCGCCTCCACTGATCACTGATCCCGCCTGTGCTTGTCATGGGCCTGCACGGCCACTTGGCCCCCGCAGGGGGTGCCCGAGAAGAGCGTGCCGCACCGACAACACAACTGAATCCTGCGCTGTGGGGATCCGAAGCGGTCGACCACTGGGGAAGCCAAGAAAGCATGGCCGTTGGCCCAAAAACCTTGCCTCGGGAACTTCATCCAATCAAATCCAGCTTCTGGAGACGAGAACACTCTCGCTCCAAGCGTTCGTAGACGTCCGTCGGGGCAGCCACCAGCGATTCCAACTGAACTCCTGAAGGGCCCTCAGGAACATGTTCCAGGACAACCAGCATGTAGGCCAACTTCTGTCCAAATGCTCCGCAACTGCCTGCCGTTGGCCCCTGGGCTCCCTGGCGAGATGGCCAGGGACGTGCGCAAAAGAGACGGCAACGGCATCCACGTCGCTGCCTGCTCCGAGAAACGACGGCGTACATCGCGCTCAAGAAGGGGTGACGGCGAGACTTCCCTGGGGCTGGGCCCAGTCGAGTGCCCGGAGTAGCCGCGAGGGTCCTCGATCCCATGGTTGTCGATCACCCTCTCCCCTGCTTTGGCATACCACTCTTGGGATAATCAGTCTGGGTAATGATCAAGCGGGTCACTCCACTGGACAGCCCTTTCTTGAAGAATGGGCCCCATGAACAAAGTGCTGAAAGGCTCGGAAAGCATCAGCTGACCCACGACTGCAGACTGACTGAGGTCCCCCATCCGCAGCAGCGGTGGACTATGGGAAAAAGAGGGGCTCCTGTGGCAACCCAGATTTCTCTGACACACGAGATACATGCCGAGCACGTAGGCCAATCCGGAGCCGCCACCGTGCCGAACACCTGCCGCAGCCGGCCTGAGATGATCACGCCCAGGGGGTGGAATTCCACGGTGCGATCGCGCTTGGCAGCTCCAAGATGTCTAACCTGTCGCCTGCGACACCTAGGCCGCCAGCGAAGTAAAACCCTGTAAACCTCGAGGCCCTCGTCGAACGGTACGTGGATCACCCGACAGACGATCCTCCCCTTGTACCTGCCTCGCCCAGGACACTCGAGGGCCCGAGACCCAATGCTACCAGGCACCAGGACAGCTTCACATCCAGAGCTTTGCAAGAGACCTTCTCCTGTACTCGGAGCCTTTCCAAGAGAGTGAGCATGTCGACGGGCCCACTGCTAGGCCGACGTGATCTTGTCAGATGTCTTCAACCGCGTCTCCTGGAGGGCCAGCACCTGCAACTTCGAGACCTGGTCAGGCAGCCCCCGCGGGCCTCCTTCACCGCTCTGGGCCTTATCTTGGCAGCAATTGACTACAATGTCAGTGGACGTCCAACTGTTGCCAGTCATTCCGAGGAGGCAGAATCCAACAGCTAGCATACCTCCGTCTGGGGGCCAACATATGCGGGTAAAGCTCACTCGAACTGGCCGCGCAACGGGCCGGTGGCGACGCGGATGGTCCCATGCACGATGGAGCCGCCGACGCCGACAGTGGAGCCGCCGACGCCGACAGCTCGAAGGGCCTGCGACCAGGCGGCAAAGCCTCATCCCCATTGTCGTAGACTACGACTCGTATTACTCCTCTGGCGCCCTGGCGGGAGCTCTGTCTCCAAGGAGTTCACGCATCTCGTCGTGGACTCGCCCGAGCCCTGGCCAGTGTCTGGCGATGGCCCGCCTCAAGGCGGAGAAGGCATTCTCGGCGAGGCGCTCATGGTATCTCACAATGCTGGCACGACCTTCTGAGGAAAGGTGACGGGATGCAGGGAGACAGAGACGGAGATATAGATGTTTGGATTGCGCTCTGATTCGCCGAGGGGACGGTCAGCTTGGTGCGGCACGCACTAGCTGCTGGCAGAAACACGCGGTATCTAGCAGCACGGGCGCCAAGGTTTGGCGAATCTCCCCGCCCCCGTCACCTAACCCGTATCACCCCCACATCGCCGGAAGGCGCTCAAGGCGCATTGCAACGCAACAGGAGTGGGAGATAGGGAGGGAGGGAGGGAGGGGAGGGGACAGCGGGGGTAGGGGAGTGGAGATGGGGGGGACGAGGGAACGCGGGGAGAGACAGGGGGGCGCCGTCGCGCGCCGAGGCTCCCTCGCCACGGCCCGCTGCTCCGCAACTGCACACATACGAGCACGACCCTCCTCTCTCCCCTGGCTCCGTCCAGTAGACATTCGGCCCTCGCCGCAGATTGCTTCTCACACGCAGGATTCCAAACGTGTGCCGTTCTTCTGTTCTTTACACTCCGATTGTCTTTGCCCCGTCGAGATGCTGCTCCCGTTGCAGCAGCGGCCTTCTTCTAGGATCGGCACGCTGCTCCCGTCGTTAACACTGGGGCTCCCGCCCTAACGAGGGCAACTTTTCTGGATCCGAGTCATTCCTAATAGTTGTCGCCCCCCCCTCTTCCCTCCTCCGTCTACCCCTGGTCTCACTACTCCTGTCGACCCTTTTACTCCAATTTCCGCTGCTGCTGTACGTCCTTGTCCTCCTGCTCCTCCTTCCTCATCTTCTTCCTGTTCCTCGTGCTCATTCTCCTGCTCATCCGCCATCTCCTCCTCCTCCTCCTCCTCCTCCTCTTCCTCCTTTGGCCGCAGCTCCCCTTTTCCGATTGCGCGTGAAGCGGTAGGGTCGTTTTTGGAGTTCCAGGCCCCGTATGGCATGCGTCCGCGGATCGAGACACATCTGCGAAATGCAGAGTGGGCGAAATTATCTTGTTTCTCCTTCTGGCTCCTCCACCCTTCCAGATCCCATACCTCCTTCCTCCTCCCCCCCTTCCTCCCTTTGTCGTTCTCTGTTCCTCCTCCCTTCCTTGTGCAGCGATGTCGTGTGCTCTGAGCTGTCATGGCGGATCACCTTCCGACCCACGAGGCCAACGCTCGATCTTCGACAGCTTGCCGCGTATCGACTTGACATCTGATTGCCGCCCTGGTTCTCGCTGTTCCGCCAGATCTTTATCAGAGGCAACGTAAGTTAACTGTTGTCGCTATCTAGTTTGTAGCAATCGCACTTACTTGCCATGCCTGTGCGCAAACTTCAGCATTGCCCGGGTGGCAAAACATGGAAATATGTGCCCTGGATAACGAGAGCGTGGCACATGTTGCACATGCACGCTGAGAGTGATGATGGCAGCGAGACTTGCTGCGCGCAAAGTCACTCACGAGAAGTACATGAAATGACGAGACCTCGGCAGCATTGTCCAATGCACAGTGGATGTGATTATGGCAACGATACTTGTTGCGCGCAACGCAATCCAGTCGATCAACTTCCATGCCGGTCGCCACAAGGGCGAGGACAATTCAAATGTTACGACGCCCATGATACTGCTAGGCTAGCGAGCGAACGGCTCATTGGCTCATTAGGGCGTTCTGAGGGCGCACTTCAACCAGCGAGCGCTGCTGACCGCAATCTCCTTCCTGGAGCAGAGGCCTCCACTGCTGTTTCCTTGAAACAAAAACTCCACCTCCCCGCCCCCTGTCTCAGCTACAATGAGAGGAGCAAGACCACAATGAGCAGGAGCAGTAGGGTTGAGAAGCAACGGAGGGGAAGCGGGTAGAGCAAGGCATCCCGATGACTCTCTGCAAACACAACAAACACCGGCACGTAGTAGACTTGGGACACTCGTCGCCAACCTAAGTGCTCCTCCCCTCCTCCTTCTCCTCCTCCTCCTCCGCATCCTCCCTACCTCCTCGCCCCCTCCTCCCCACCTCCTCCTCGCTACCCTCATCCTCCGTTTCAGTCGCCCCTACATGACGTCATTTGCAACACTCATTAGCGAGCGTTCCAGCCTTCGCAGTGCACAAATACAATGTTTCGCGGCCGCGAGCCCGACGGCGGAATTCACCGCCGAATACCGGGCCCAAACACTCATGCGAGCCGCAAGTGGGCCACAGACTTTCGATAATGCCTCTCCGCCAAACGTGGAACAGAAGCCTTACATTGCATGGCTCGCTCCAGGAACCCTGACTCTAAAGCTCTTGACGTGTCCTGGGGCGCATCTTTTACTTCCAGGCTGCTTCTGCGGGCCTTCCGCCAGCGGAACCGTGCTCGCCTCGCTGCCGCCGCCTTCCGCCGGCCCTCCGTCGAGGATGAGGTGCCAATCCCCGCGGCTCCTCCAGGGCGAGGCTCGGACTTGCCGCCCGCAGCCGCGCTGGGGGGAGCGCCTGCACGTGCGACAGCGAGGATATGCACCAGGAAGCTGGAAGCGCACGTGTAGACGAGCGCGCTCCCCTGCGCGCAAAAAGCAACTGCTCGCAAGTGGCCTGGATCCCCCGCGGGGGATCTGCGAGAAGCTACGCCAAAGCAGCCAGGTGTTTTTCGCACGTTTGGGAGTACACGCCGTTCATTTCTAATCGTGCTCATTTCTAATCCTTCACAAGCATGGTGGAACGCGGCCCTGGGAGCGCGGACGCAGCTTAATGCACGAGGGATCGCCTTGGGAGCGCGGACGCAGCGTGGGCTGCGAGTCACGTTCTTTCGGGTTCAGCGCAGATTTTTCAGGAAACCGCTGGGGGGCCGAAAAGCGTTCCCCGAACACATGTCCCAATACAGAAACTTCTTGTTTTCTGCCCTGGAGAGAGGGCGTGGGTGGGGGGTGGGCGGAACAGTGCGTAGGCCCCCCCTGCGAGTGGTGGAACGCGCTCGGCGAGCATGGCCGGAGCCACGCGCGGAGAGCGTCGGAGGCCCCGCGCCGCCCACGCGCGTGGCAGGCCGGCGTCCTCGGCCACGGAAGGGCCACGCGCTGGGAGGACGTGCGGCCGCATGGGTGTCCAGCTCCCGCCCAGGCTGGCCGCCCGCCCATGCGCGTCGTCCTTCGCCCCGCGCCGACCGTCCCCTCCTGGTGTTCCTCCTACTCCTCCTCCTCCTCCTCCCCCTCCTCCTCCTCCTCCTCCTCCTCCTCCTCCTCCTCCTCCTCCTCCTGCTTTCCTTGCCGCTCATCCCGCTCATCCTTCGCCTCCTCCTCCTTCTCCTCCTCCGCCTCGCCCTTCTTCTGCTCAACCCTCTCCTGCACTGAGCGGCACAGCGACAGCTTCGTTGAGACTCAGACCACCCACGTGGAAGGGCTGTGGGGAAGGAAGCGGGGACGCCGGAAGGGGCCTGGACAGAATCCCTAAAGAATTGTCGGTGATCTCGGCGCGTGGCGTGGACCCCGAACAGCAGATTATTCTGGCGCTGCGGAGGGAAAGTTCATTGGGCGCTGCTTGCGAAAAGTGCAACGTCTGGAAGCATTCTACTTGTGCGGCGCAGCCAGGGTGTTCAACTCACGGGGTTCGATCCATGGAATTAAGTGGCTACGACGTCTGATGGCATTCAGCCTACATAGGGCGCAACTGATGTGGCACAAGATAGTGGGGCGCCACTTGTGCGGTGCATCTCATGGGGTTCAGCCTGTGAGGCGCGACTCATCGAGCGGAAGCAACGGAGTGCAACGCTTGAGCTACTACATCTGGGATGTAACTCTGGCACGCGGGGGGCGACACCGGCGACCGGCCGATCCCTGGTACCCATATCAAACTGGCGACGGCGACGGTGGAACTAGCGACGACGACGACGACGACGACGTTGACGTTGACGTTGACGACGACGACGACGCCGACGACGACGACGACAGCGGCCAGGGCGAGGGCGAGGGCGAGGGTGACGGCGGCGACGGCGACGGCCACAACCCGGCGGCAACCACCCCCAAAGCGGCGGGGGTGGTGACGGAAGCGACGGGCGAAACCCACCGCCCGCACCCACCCCGCAAGTGGCGGCGACTGGCCCACAGCACCCACCCCTCAAGCGGCGACGGCGACGGCGACGGCCAGACGCTGGCACCCACCCCGCAAGCAGCGACGGCGGCGTCGACGTCCCGACCACGGCCCCAGAGCGCAGGTTCCAACACGGGTAAGACCCCCTCTCAGTGCAAGCACTGCTCGGGGAACATGATCAAGCAGGTGGGAGCATTGCCTTTGAATGAGGAGGGTCATCATGTGGAGGACGACGACGACGAGAAGCAGGGTCAGCAACAGGCGCACGGATCATGGGCAGCAGCGATGGACTGAACATGACCTCGACTCGGTCGCCTGGATAACACCCAGTGGCGGGTGGGGGGGGACAAGGAACGGCGGGTCCTGGCCTGGGCATTCCTGGGTGCGCGATGGCTCGATTTTTGAGGCGACTCCAGCGGTGGCGACGAGGGTCTCCCAGGAGACCCCAACAGGGCGAACACGAGGCAAAGTTAGCGGTATCACTACCTGTTCCTCCTCTCGGCTCTGGTTCTGGTTCATATCCCATGCGTTCTCCTGCTGCGGCCAAGAGCGGGGCGTCCAAGAGGGGGGGGGGGCGCGCAAATCATGGCCGGCGGCGCGTGCGCGGCCCGGGGGGGGGGGGGGCAGGGACGTAATGAAACGAGAGGAGGCGCCATGAAGTCTGAGGAAAAATCATGGCCCGCGCCATGACACCCACGCCCCCCCAGCCATCTCCCCCCTCTTGGCCGCCCCCGACGTCTGGCGTCGACGCTTCACAGTCCCCCCCCCCACAAGGCCAGAGAGCGCGCAAGCGCTGGCGGCTGCGCCGCCGGCAGCGCCACGGGCCCCCCCCCCGCGCGTCGAGGCCCTCTCTCGCGTGAGGACCGTCGGGCGTGGCATGGGCGCGCCGCCGAGCAGATCGGGGGGAACGCAAGGGGGGAATAGCAAAGGGCAGGGTTAAGTCGGGCGTGTCCCCCTACAGGGGGATGTTCGAAAAAATGAAAAATATTCAACAAATATTCCAAAATTGTCAAAAATACTCCAAACATAGTCCCCATGCTATTTTTGGACCATTTTTGGATTTTCCCCCTGTAGAGGGACAGGCCCGACTTACGGGCAGGGCAGAGAATCAGCTCACGTAGCTGATTCTCCCAGCGCCTCCTGGCGCCAGGAGGCGCCCATGTATCGAGGAATGGGCCCGGCGGCGGGGCCGAAACCAGCTGCACGCGGCAGATTTCGTAACCCCCCTTTCCCTACCCCCCCTTTTCGTTCGGCCCGAGCAGAGTGCTGCGCAACTAGAAGGAGGGACAGCGGAGAAGGACAAGGCGGGGGAGGCGGGCGACGAGGAATTGAAGGAGGCTGGGAAGTAGTCGCCGCGTCGAGACTCTCGTGAAGGCCAGGCGTGGAAGGGGCGCGCCGCCGGGCAGAGTGCTGCGCCGGAAGCGGCGCGCAGCTAGAAGGAGGGACAGCGGAGGGGGACGAGGAGGGGGAGGAGGGCGACAAGTATAAGGGAGGCTGGGAATAGAGGCCTCCTAGATGGGGTCGGCGTAGACGTGGTCGGAGGATAGCGCCGCTTCTCCGATACATCGGCGATGCATTGGCGATGTATCGGCGATGCGTCGGCGGTGCACCGGCGACGCATCGGCGACATTGGCGATGCACCGGCGCCATCGGCGTGGGGAAACACGTGCTGGCAAAGAGCTGGCCAGAAGCGGCGCGCAACTGAGGAGGGACAGCAGCGGGGGACGATAAGGGCCCAGACCCTCGAAGCCATTGTTTGTTCATGGCGTCGACCTCCTGAG